GATAGTTCGTCAGGATTTCCAGGTACTCATATAGCTTGTACTTTTCCTCGATTTAACTATTACAAATATTATATGACCATCTTCTTAATTTTATCCCTTATAACTATTTTATCTTGTTTATTACATTAATACGTATTTAGCTAAACTCTTAAATTATATTTTATTTATTAGTGCTTTGCCTTTTTAGATCTCTAATTAAGGTAATAGTTTATTAATCTTTCTATTAATCACTTTTAATGGTTATACTTTATTACCTACTCCATATATCGGTAGTATAAAATACTTTAATTTGATCTTTATTTACGAAGTTCCTATATTATTAATAAGTTTAGATAAGCAAACTTCCCTTTAAGTTATTTAACGTCGATATAATTTTTTGTAGTACTTTTTATACAGGAGTCTCTTAAGATTATTTAAGGGAAGGGCAGGAGAATAGATAAAAGGCTTAATATATAGTTAATGATTAAAATTATTATGGACTTAATAGTTTCAGCTTATTAATATTATAATATAAACGTCAAACTAGTTTCTCAATTATGAGGTTGGAATTAATACTTTAGATGAAGGTTCCTGTTTAAATCTCTAGTTATATTGTTATTTTTAAGGTATACATCTACGTTAATTTACATTATTCTTTTATGTTTCCTTTATTAGAAATAGATATACGTAGTTAAGTAGTTATGATATATAAATACTTTAAGATTAATACTTTAGGTTCCAATAGTTAGACAGCCTACAATTATATATTAGTACTTAATGATCCGTTTATACTATTAGAGTTATAACTAAAAATAATCCTAGAATTTTATAATTCTTACTTTGGTGGTTATCTTATATTAGTAGGAAGCCAGTTTGGAACATATATATAAAACTATATGTTGGAAAGGTAAAGATAATTTAAATATTTTGTTAAAGTTGAATCCTTACTTTATTATACTACAAAGATTTTTAGATCCAATGCAACCCTATAAATTTTACCATAATAAAGGAAAAAATATTAAGAATAGTTTATTTAACTCTGAACCTATGAGATTAAATCTAAACAGATATTAAATTAATATTTGTAACATCTAGACTCCCCGTTAGGTAACCAATTAC